TTACCTTTATTTTCCAAAAAATAAAATTTGTTTAATTTTTATTAATTAAAAAATAAATTAAATTTTTTATGCCTTAAAACAAAATGTAAATACACAACACAGAATTTCTGAGCAAAAAAATCATAAGGCTATTGTAAGAATAAATTAAACTTGTTTTTATGCTTTCAAATAATTAGACATGCTAAAACACAGAATTTGGTAACAATAAAACAAGGTTGGAAAAAAATTTAAAAATTGGGCCCTAAACATGTAATTTTTGTTAAACTTTTAATAAATTGATGTTAAACTGTTTAAGTTTCATGATTTTAATTAATTAGACATGCTTTTTGATTAATACAATTTAATTTAACCATTAAAAAGGAGTCCAGAAAAAAGGATTTTTAAGCTCAAATTTAAGACCTTTTTAAAGGGTTAGTTCCCCCAAAAATGAAAATTAGGCTGTTTTACTCACCCCAGAGCCATCCTAGGTGTATGACTTTCTTCTTTCAGACGAATCCAGTCGGAGTTATATAAAAAAATTTCTTTGATCTTTCAAGCTGTTTAATGCCACTCAGCGGGTGTTGCATGATCAGTCCAAAAGAACTTAAATAAAAAGCGTCTCACACGGCTCTGAACAAAGGCCTCCTGTAGCGAATCGATGCGTTTTTGTAAGAAAAATATCTATATTCAAAACGTAATAATCACTTTAATGTAGCTTGCGCCAACAGTACACGGAAGCAGCTCCGGGCTAATGACGTTGGAGTTCAGCCTTGTGCATGCGCCGGTGAGTCTCGTGTAGGGATGGAACGATTACCGGTTTCACGATAAATCACGATAAAAATGCCCTGACTGTTAGTATTATCGTTTAAAATTTTATCATCATAGCCATCTAAGAGAACCAAATCGGTGGTCTGGTCGTATTTTGGCTTTTACAAGAGTACTGAAGGCAATTTAATCGAGGACGCAACCCCAACTTTGCTTTAAAAAGCATCACAAGATCTCCTAACCGAAGATCACATGATCACAAACGGAAATCACATTGTTTGTATGTATATACATATATATATATATACATAAATAAGTGATTTATTATTATTATTAGGGCTTCATGTTAATGTTAATTTAATGTTTATGCTAAAAAAAAGTGCATATAGCTGCTAATTTAATTTGTTGTTTGTTGATTTTCAAATATAAAACTTATTGAAATGTTTTCAGTGTGTGTATCAGTTCTTTTTGAACGTTTGGCTTATATCGAAATCCTCCGACATTCTTCTTTACAAATCCTCGTTTTGTACTTGTAATTAGTGACCGTAGTTTTTTGATCTCTCCGCTGAGTTTCCGCGTGCGTCACCTCTGAGGGGCTCTGGGGTGAGTAAAACACAGCCTAATTTTCATTTTTGGGTGAAGTAACCCTTTAAGACCTGCACAAATAAAATTAATACCATATGAGCGGGGTTGGGCAATGTCTATAGTACCATATTAAACTGTAAAAAGCATAATCTATAAAATTATAAACTTTACATTTCAGCCTTTAACCCATTTTTAATAAAACAGACGAGTCAAAAGTTAATTAGACATGCTAAAACACAGAATTTGGTAACAATAAAACATAAGGTTGGAAAAAATAAAACATTTCATAGGGCCCTAAACATGCAATTTTTGTTAAACTTTTAATAAATTGATGTTAAATTGTTTAAGTTTCATGATTTTAATTAATTAGACATGCTTTTTGACTAATAAAATTAAATTTAACCATTAAAAAGGATTCCAGAAAAAACACAGGAGTCCCCCCAAAGCCGTAAACCTAGGGGAAACACTGAGCCATATCGCAATTCTGGTCTTTCCGTCCCATTAAGACATCTTGACATCATAATTAAGACTTTCTTGTACAATTTAAGACTTTTTAAGGCCTTAAATTTGATACAACTAAATTTAAGACGTTTTAAGACCCGCGGAAACCCTACTATAGTTAGTGCTACGCCTCAAAATTTATTTAGTGTAATACTTTGATTATAACAGTCGTGGTTACCAAATTGCTACATTTGATTACAGTAACAACTATAACTGTAGCATCTATAACATTTTGACAGATGTTATGATTACCATGATGTTTTAAAGAAGGGTTTCCATAGCAAACGAATCGAACCTCAACATAAACACTTACCTCTCACTTTATTCAGCTGTTTTACAGCGGCATAAAGTTTCTTCGTTACTATTTAATTCCCGTTTTTTCGTCCGCCACACCAAATTACGTTGATAAAGATAACCCGCTAGTTATTTAAGGCTACAAAATATTCTGAAATGTTTCTAGACTTCTCTACACCCACGGTGTACGCTAAACGTTTTCCAGCGGCGAAACGGAAACGGAAGTCTCTGGTGAAAATTTCCGCCGGAAAGCCACGCATTGACACCGGCCACACCATAGATATTTATGGGCCACACTACTGCCATCTATCGACCTGGAGTTATTTGATTTATACACAGGATTTACCCAGCCAAATATTATTTGGTAAAATTTAAATCTGATATTGATTTTAGTTGCTCCTTTTGTGTCAGTTGCCCTGAAACTGTGGTACATTTGTTTTGGCATTGCCCTTTTGTAAAACTATTTTGCCAAAATGTCTGTGATTTTATTGTACAAAATATTGACAATCATTTTGTTTTGTTATGGAAATATGTATTATTTTGTATCTTAGAGAACAGCAAAGAAAAGCACAGTCATGTTTACATGATAAATCTTATTTTTTTACATGCCAAATTTCATATTCACAGTTCTCCTGCAAAAAAAAAAATGTTTTTGTTTGTTTGTTTTTTCCCCTTTTAGGAAGGAAATGGAGCATTATATTGATACTATATGATTTTCTATTAAACAAACAGCAATTAAAACGGCCTAGCATATATTTTTAGTAATGCCAAAAGTCTTAATCTTTATATATTCTCTGTCTGGCTTTATAATTAGTCTCTCTGTAGTTGTGTTGGATCAAGGACAGATCAGAGGAGACTGATATGGTCAAACTAACTCAATAACTCACACTACATACACACAGACACATTTATACACTCATAGGGGACTGTTGTCCCAAATACACAATGGAGACACACACACACACATGTGCATTGGCCCAAATACAGCCAAGCCTGGAGGAATGGAGTAAGTTGTTCTCTAATCAGCATCACTTTCCACCTTCACCCTTCATCCTACTGAAGAAGAAAAATTACAACACACTGCACAACTTCATACACACAGCTCAGAACTCACAGGGTCTCACAATCATCTCTCAGTTCTGTAAGAATAGAGTGCCTGGTAGCATAGACTATATCAACAATGTGCTAATCCATGTGGCTCGAAGAGCATAACGTGATTTGATTACTCAAATACTGGTTTACTAAAACCAACACATATTCCGTCTGTCCACTCCTTTTCTCTCTTCTGATTTACAAAGCAAATTTAATGACAATTCTGATTTTCTAGATATATTTTCTCTTTTATTTTCTAATAAATGATCTTGCTTAAATTTTATTACTGTAAAATAATAATGACAGTGAAGAATGCGATTATTTTATATTAAAATAAAGAACCACTTTTTTTAAAGCAGTTAGGATTTTACTATTACTGTAATGGACTCAGGGCCGGATTTATGCATAGGCATTCTAGGCACGTGCCTATGCTTGCTCGTCCAGGGGGGGGCCCAAACACAATGAAGAGATATATAATATTTTTGTTATACTATGGGGATATCTACAACAGTAAAAGAACCAAAACCCCAAGAAAACATTGAGCAAATAAATATAACAAACAATAGGGTAAAAATGACAAACTATTTCCATGTCTTCAACCTTTTTTATGTACAGAAATCACTTTTCTTTCTCCCGTTCTCTCTCACAGACGCACACACAGTACAGACACGCACTTGCGCACAAACGCGGACAGAAACTTGTTGTCAGAGCTGCGGCTGCCCCGCGACTTTATCAATAAAATAGTTTCGCGTTTCTCAGTAGCGAGGTTTTTGAAGCAGTTCAACTTAAAGATTCGCTATTAGTAGACGCTGCTGCTGAATACTGCTGAGAGATGCACAGACGCAAGTATTCACATGCACTTAATCTCTCTCTCCCTCTCGCTCTCTCTAATAACTGCGTTAGACTGCATTAATAACTATGTTAGCCTGCATATCAATGGCTCAAGCCTCTGTTATTAGCTCTAAAATGA